ATTAATAGTCATTCGCAGGGAAGGGACCCTGAGCCTTAGGACTGACTGCTACCAAGTACCAAAAATCTCTTGAAGGCAAATCCGCTAACGCCGGTCACCGATGTCTCCCATTAGTTATTAATCGGTATCGAGGAGTAACTTGCGAATTTATTTTACACTAGTTACACCCGTGCGATTTCACTCGCTACTGCTCGGCTCCTATTGATCGTAGCGTGATGTTTTTAGGCTTATAGCCTTCCTCAATAAATGTACTATACAGCACATGGGATCTAGTGTTCATAGCATCTCTTGCTCAAGAAGAGCAATCAATCAAGACAGCGGGCGGCCGGCGGCTGGAGGATGCCTTATTAAGGCTGCCGATAATTTATTGCCATTATGTTAATGTATATTGCTATTTGCATAAAACTAAAAATCCTCAGACGTGCCGATGCCGATAGTGGGCGCTGGGCCTAATTATCTTTAGGGGTCTGATGAAGCAGTACGATAGTTGAGGGAACTCCTCAACGATTAACATTTTCAACACGTTGAGCAATATTATTATTAAAAATATCGTCATTTTTACTGTTTCAAAAGTTACCTCCTTAGTTCAATCCGCCATTATTATAACTCGGTTCATTAAAGAAAGGAATCTAAAATGGCGGTGCTTATCATGTTTTCTCGCTTGCACACTAGTGCCACACTTATTTCTACTGTGCTAGTGCCATCTATACTCATTCTCGCTAATCCCGGTGAAGGCCCGTCTCATAGATAGTATCATAGAATAAAATAATATATCGGGTAGATAGTATTAATAAATGAGTTAAAAGTAATATTCGTTCTTTATTTATACCACCGAAATCATAATAAAGATCCTCAAAAGTGTTATCAAATCTTCAACTGTTTAGAAATGAAATACGGCCCGATCATGTTTTTATTATTTCTATTTTGGAAAAAATATTGGACTTGAAATTTTAAATGCTAACTGTACTACTTGTCAACTCAAATACAAGCCGCCATTTAAGATTCCTTTCTTTAATGCATCGGATTACATATGCTGTGTCCGCCATTAAAAAAAAACTTTGAAACGCGTAGAATCCTATCGTTTTTTTGCTCACCAGTTGGCGCCACTGTCAGTTGTCAAAGAAAAACGAATATCATATTCAAAGAGTTTGTGTCTATGGGATCATATTTTTATAATAATTCTAAGAAAAGGAAAAATAATATGTGCAGTTGTACCTTTTTTTATATCTCCAGTTGGACATTCTTTTTAGTGCATAGGTATATACACTACATAGTATTTTATAAAATAGCGTATCTTTAACCTAAAACTAATAGAGAAAAATAGTGTGCTAGTTATCTGTGTATTATTCATCTATGTCTGTGGTGCACCCATGGACGTATTATAACTAAGGACTGAGTACTGTCAAAATTAAGTTATATCAAAATAAAACATATGCGTTCGTCATAAGGTTTACTTTGGAAACCAAATTATGACAGAGGCAAAACGAGCCGACAGAGATAGCCAGTACCGAGGCCATCTGTCCCTTTAGCGCGCTTGCCATACGACAAAATTATTTACGGTACAAACAAAAAATATGTTCATCGGAAGAAAAATATGAACAAGATTGTGACTTAATAGCGATATAAAATATTTTATTATTAATTTATATTACCCTATAAGAACAAAAAGAATTAAAGATTTTGTTGTTAGAAGTTTTTATAATTATTTAACTGGTATCATTAGCAAGTGTCATGGTGCCTACACTGTCGTCAAAGACTACTTTAATATACTGGCTAACTGTCGTTGTGTCATTGAAAAGCCTCGGTCATAAGCATGTTTTTTCAAACTAATCTAACTATAACTGCTATTTTCAAACGTGGAAATGGTGAAAAATTGTTGCATAAAATCACGCAAAAGCGAATCATATGGTGGTTGTGGCATATCATTTCACAGCTAAGCAATTTGTTTATTTACGCTGGTCTAGTGACCATGATTCAAGTTTTGCAAGATTTTATTTTCAACTCTAACCTGATAATATTCTAGATTTAGGTTCAGTATATTTTTTTATCGAAATCCAATTGTTTCTGTTGGAGTAAAGGTGAATAATACATAAGTAACGTAGGCTTATCTTATATTAAAATTTGCACAGTGTAATTTATTAATTGTGAACAGAATACGACTGACAACTATTGTTAGAAAAATATCACCTTGCAACTACCTATATCACCATCATAAACCAAGTCACAGATTACTGGAATACTATATATTCAGATTGAAATCTCCCGATCAATGTTTCGACCCTTTGGTGTTAATTTTTTTTAGTCAAGATGATGTGTGACCGTGTTTCTGTAACATTCCTAGGATGAGGGGCCAGACTAAAAGAGATACTATCCGCAGGGCAGTTTTGTGGCGAAACTGTTGGGCATTAGCAACCCCACGGATCTGATCTTCCGGGATAACCCTTGTTCTTCATTTGCAGCTTGCCTGCTCATGCTCAGCTCTTTATTGGCCGGCCGTAGTGAAAACTGCTACGGCGGTTACGCCTTAGCCGCAGTCGCCACCGTCGCCGGCGGCGCTGGGATTCCGATCCCAATTTCCGGCCACTGTAGTGGCGGGCTTGCGGGCGGACAGCTATGGGTAGCTTATCGCCCGACCGTCCGGTGACGATCCGGACCGAGCCCAAGTTGACTATGGCGCGCGCTGTTCCTGTGCACCTCAAAGAGTTTGTCAGCAATCTGTAGCGGCCAGCAGAGTCGAAGCTTACTGGGGGCCGTCAAATCCGAAAGGTCATGCTTGACCCCAGTACTAAAGGTGAGTAAGGAACGGGTGGGATTATTTAATCAGTAAGAGTCTGACACGCCCTCTCGCAAGAGCGGGAGAAGTAATTTGATTGTTTTAACCCACTAAAAAAAGCGTCCAAGACCAAGCCGAACTCTGTGACTAGACTCGCAATGTTCCTATGTATAATAAAATAGATGGTCACCCTATTAGAAGAGGACGCACCTCCGTTCTATGCATCTCACTCGGTTCATTTTTTTGGCCCTAGCGCTCAGTCCTGTTAGTTATAATCATTGATGTATAATAGGGGATTTGAAATATGGTCACGTGATTTGAAGCCAAAAATACCTCAAAAATGGCGGATCTCCGCCCACAATAGTGTTGTACCTACGTCGACATAACATATCGACATAGGCAATTCAATGTAAATATAAAATAATAACTTATCATTTAGTTCAATTCGAAACAAAGATATAAAAGAATTGCTGAAAGAGTACAACTGATGGTAAAGCATTCACATAATCATAATCTCAAGATTCTTAAACGAGTACTGTATTGAAAAAACCTGACCCTTTCAGAGAATGTTGAAACTAATTTCATATACCTATATATAAAGTCAGACAACTAAAAATCAAAAAGTTATACCACCGAACACCGTGCGTTTTCCTGTAATGTGAAACAGTATGCTGGAATGGGGACAGGGGTAGGTCAGAGTGCATTATAATGAATAAATGTCAAATATATTCATGGCGAAACAATATAATTTTTTTAAAAAGATTTTTGTTGACTCATTTTATTCTTGCTTTTTGCCGTAATATTTATATCTTATATCTAAATATGTAAGAATAACAGTTTATGAGAACTCTAATGTTCATTCCATTGAAAATTAGGCCAATTTAAAAAATAGTAGGAATTATGTTATCTTGAAGTCAAATAATATTCAATGTTCTGTTCACACAATCTTCTTCAATATGGTTGAAGCATATTGTTAATACTGATGCATGTTTTATATTCTCCTAACCTATTTTTCCATCCACAAGTCCTTTAGGATTTCATTTTTAGGAAATCTAAAATCAAATTTAATCATCATTATGCGCAAATTAAATACAAGTATACGAAAACAAATAAAAATATTCTAGTTGTGCATTTTAGGACGTCACTCAACTCTCAAACATCCTAAATTAAATGTTCTATATCAATATTTTCATTTAATACAGTTAAATATACCGTAAATGTTCTAACCAGACGGCTATGTCAATATTATTGCTAATACTGCTATCGATAACTTTACAAAACGACGATCAGCACTATGAATAAAATGTAAACAATTACAATGTTAGATATATTCGGTGGCAGCAGAGGCAGTCAAATAAAACGATGTTTAACTTAATGATAGTTATATTGAAAGAATGAAAATTACATTAATTATTATATTTAACTCGTCGAGTACCGGTTTTGTAGACACAATTATAGAACAATAGGTTGCGGTCACCGGTGACCGCTTGGTGTTTGACAGTTTAATTAGTAATTAGTATTCATAAGTCGACGATTGACCAAAGAATGCTTATTGGAATCTACCCGTGGCGCAATCACACAGTTCGCGTAAATGGTGTCGCCTTCGAGCAACACGAGGCGCAGCGTCAGCGCAATTGTCAGGTCGTACAACTTTAGCGATATACCGCGGCTATGCCTGCGTAACAAGTTCAATTGATGTGATAACAGTCTTATGAAAGTATGCATAATAGCAGAAAACCCAAATTAGAAGTGATAATATAGACTTATATCATAATTTACACAAAAAGTATACATAAATAACAAAGAAAATTAGAACTAACCTAAAACATGACAATCCTTCTCATTTTTACGTGAATTTGAATTACATCCCTTGATGCAACACTTGCTCATGATAGTTCAGTTTAAATTCATTTCACTTATTGGCAAAAAACTCCATTAATATCGAAACTCTTTACTGTAACACCGAAAATATTTCCAAAAACCGTATTGTTGACAGATGATCTACCAAAAACATGAGCGGAGTGTGTCTCTCTTAAATGGCGGAATGGGCCTCAAGGCGGAGTTTGGTGACGTTGACGTCGTATGAAAAATGTTATCAGAAATTGAAGTTTCTTATTTATGCTTATTTCTTTTTACATATCTAATTTACAACGTGTAAGAATGATACAGATATATTTTTGTTGATGAGGTTCATATTTGCATGATATTTGTATAACCAAAATTGTATATGCAACTTGCGGCGTATCCCCTATTATTCATCTATGGTCCCTATTATTCAGCTATAATACGTCCATGGGTGCACCTAGTTCTCTTTTCTCATGTCAGATGTCATTGTCATTTGTCAGAATTCACACATTCAGTCAGCAGTACCGGTACGTCAGATCATGGACACAAAAGCGGGAACACTGTTTTCTTATTTTATTTGTAAAGTTACTTTATCAAACGTATTGAATTAAAAGAAGAGAGCTTCCGAAAAAATACCTACATCTTACCTGCTATATAAATCTTTGTTAAATGTTCGTACTGTATAAAGTAGTGAAAGGTGAAATAAAAACATACATTTCGACCAGGAACATCTAGTCATGGATATTATTGAAACAATCAAGAAAGACAAAGCGTATTTAAAATGCAAACTCATTGTTAAAAATTGGGAAAAGGATTTTAAGTTACAACATAGCCGGACACCTACTAAGTTCGACATAAAGGAAGCACCTCCAAAAATAAAATATGCATATAAAAAATATTTTCAACTCAAGAGCAACGCACTTGAGAATTCATTATCAGTTTGTGATTTTGAAGAAGAGCCTATCGTATCGCCGGAACGTGACAATTTTGAACATATTACTAACGAATCTGTAAGTCCTCAGCCTAAACTTCCAGCATTACCAAGTGGTCAAGAATTGGAGAAATTACTATCAAATTCAGATCTAAAACTTGATAATAAAGCATTAACACCATTTACTGAAAATCTATCCAAAAAGCTATTTCAGAATAGAAAGTTTTGTCTAAGAAACCCTAGAAAGCTTTCTATATGTAAATCTCAATTATCTACTGAAAATAGATCTTTAAATTCTGAACCAGCAAATGGCACTAGCCAAGAACAAGTAAATAAAGAAATAGAGTTAAACATTTTCAACAATTCGGAATTCAATAATTCATTAAAAATTATTGAAGAACCTTTGAGCAACAATGATGTTACAATCCCACATTTTCAACAAAGACAACCAGAATTATTGAGACCAGTAATCAGACAATTAAATAATGCATGGCTAAATAGAGCTGCTGGTATTGTAGTTGAAGGTAATCAACATTCTGTTGAACCTGAAAGATTTGGAATAGGCAATATCAAGATTTTAGATAGCAAAGAAAAACCTCATGATTATGTGGAAAACAGTGAATCAGAAGATGATATTGTCAATGATAAGTTGAAACCTGCCTTAAAAAAGAGAAAATTAGAAATTGTTAAAATTGAAGAAAATCTCAAACAATGCTATGGATCTAAAGATAAACAAGTTCAGCAATACCAATCTGAGAAATCATATAGCACACAAATTAAAGATCCTGAAAAGAAGAATATAGGTAAGTCTAAAAATAAAAATGAAAATAATATTCTAGAACAATTGCCTCCTGACCTACAAGAATATATTCCTTATGGTATAGAAAAAGATATACAGCCTCGTCATTTACAAATTACTAATGTACTACAAAAGGTTGACTCTATTGTTACTAATTGCAACGAGATAGATGATTCCAAAGAAAATAGTAGTATAGATAATAAAATAAAAGCTGGAACTTTAAATGACAATTTTGTGAAAATAAATATTGAAAAAAAAGTGTTTGCTAGAGGAAAGAAGAATATTAATTATTCCAAGTACAAAAAGCAACTTTGGAAAAATAAGAAGAGTCTTCATGAAGGTATGGAATTTCCTGAGGGTGGTAAAGTTACATGTTTTAAGTGTGGTAATACAGGTCATATGGCAAGATACTGTAAATCACAAAAAGGGGAAACACTTTTGCCATTAGATAGTTACAATGAAAATAATATTCCTACTCTAGAAGAAATGCAAGTATATGCATCTGAACCATCCAGTAGTAAAATAAATCAGTCACTAACTGAACAATTACATGAGTCTATGTTTGAAGCTAGCAAAATTCCAGACTCTTTTATGAAATTGTTAGCGGAGCCTACAAATGTTGATGGCAATGAAATTAAACCTCTTTATGATAACTGTGAAAAAGTTCTGTCAGCTGATTTGGAGCAAGCTCTTAATAAATTTGGGCATAAAGCTTTTCGACCTGGACAAGAAAATGCTATTAGAAGAATTTTATGTGGAATGTCTACTTTGCTTATTTTGTCTACAGGTGGTGGAAAATCCCTTTGTTATCAACTCCCAGCTTATCTCTACAGTCGACATCACAAATGTATAACATTGGTAATTTCTCCTTTAGTTTCACTAATGGAGGATCAAGTGTTGAATGTTCCAGAATTCATTAAGGCTGGATGCTATCACACAAATCAATCTCAGACGCAGCGTGGTAAAATCCTACAGTGTCTAAAGGATGGATTATTAGATATCCTTCTTATATCTCCTGAAGCATTGATAGCTGGCGATACATCAAGTGGAATATCAGGTCTCTTTAAGTCACTGCCTCCAATTGCCTTTGCTTGTATAGATGAAGCTCATTGTGTGTCACAGTGGAGCCACAATTTCAGACCTAGTTATCTAATGATCTGTCGGGTATTAAGAGAAAAACTGAAGGTAAACTGTATTCTTGGATTAACCGCTACTGCAAGTCAGGCAACTATTAAAAGTGTAATCAGCCATATTAATATACCTGATGGTGTTGATGGAGTGATAAAGAATCCAGCACTACCAGATAATCTTTGTTTATCAGTTTCAATTGAAAAAGATAAAGACAAAGCTCTTGTATCATACTTGTTGTCAGAACAAATAATAGAATTTAATTCTATTATAGTATATTGTATAAGAAGAGATGAATGTGAAAGAGTTGCTGCTGTACTTAGGTCATGCTTACAAGAAACCGGTAAAGTTAACATGGAGAGCCAGAAAAATAAAAGAAAAAGAATGTCTTACATTGCTGAAGCTTATCATGCTGGCATGTCAGCTGCACAGAGAAAAAAAATACAAAAGCATTTTATGGATGGCACAGTTAGAATAATAGTTGCAACTGTTGCTTTTGGTATGGGCATTAACAAATCAGATATAAGGTGTATTATACATTATAATATGCCTAGCAGTTTTGAATCATATGTGCAAGAAGTTGGAAGAGCTGGCCGGGATGGTCAGCTTGCATACTGCCATATAATTTTAAGTAATGGCAGTAGTGATAAGAATGAATTATTAAAACATATTCATGCCAACTCTATTGATAGACCAACTGTAAGAAAATTACTGTCCAAACTGTTTATACCCTGTGAATGTGTTAAACTTTGTACAGATTTATCTAATAGTTGTTGCAAGGGTCATGAAGTGGGAATCCCTATAGATGCAACTGTAGAGGAATTAGATTTGCCGTCTGAAAATATTGCAACCCTTTTATGTTATATTGAACTTCATCCTAAACAGTATATAAAATTTCTTAATAATGCTTACATAAATTGTAAAATTTCCTCATATGGAGGCCCTAAAAAAATTCATGATGCAGCAAAGTCCTGTAGACCATTAGCAATGGCACTTTTATTAGAAAACAAAAGAAATGCTGGAATTATGAATAGCAGTATTATAGAATTCAATGTCATTGAAGTAGCTGCCGCTATTGGATGGGAAAGTGGCGTAACTAAGTACCAATTGAAAAATTTAGAATGGAACACAGAATCGGGGATCCCTCAAAGATCACATTTAAAAGTTGAATTTAATACACTTGGTTTCCGTATTAGAGCCAGGGGAGACCTGAGTCCTACCGAATTGGACGAAATGTTGGATGATTTGCATAATTCTGTGATTTCGCAAGAGAAGGCACGATTATATCAGCTAGAAGAGTGTAATACAGCCTTTCATAATATAGGAACAGATTCTTTGGAAAAAATGAAATTATCGAAAGACTCTCTGTTCAAAGTTTCTGACGATTTAAAATTATATGTAAGAAATTATTTCGAAAGAGATAATTTTCCCACTGATATGACATTGGAAGAACGGCCCTTGGATATAGATAGAGCTGTATCGGACATCCGATCTATAATAAATATATATAAAGACTGTAATTTTACTGGTAGAAGTATTGCAAGAATTTTTCAAGGTATTTCTTCTCCAAATTATCCCGCTATCGTTTGGGGTAGATGTAAGTTTTGGAGGTCACATTTAAATGAAGATTTCAATGGTTTAATTAGATTAGCTACTCAACAAATAATTCAAATGAAAATGTAATTGATTCTTCTCCTTCTTTATAATTGATTTCTTTCAATTATTAATACGGTGTGTTATTGTTTTCAAATATATAATGATTTCTAAGTTGTAGTGACACCGATAATATCTATTAAGTTGTAGTGGTGTGGTGCCATCTACATTTTCTGTCTCGAAAGAATTATGATCTTGAGTAACTATCGTTTTGTATTGCCAATGAAAAGATAATACTGAGCTTATTTTTTCTGCTAACTTAAGTATTTAACATCACATTTAATATAATGTACTAAAATAATAATTTTTAATGTAAGTTTTGAATAAATAGTGTCAAATCTATTTTTACTTGTTTTATTAGTTCCCTATCAATAATTTCCAGCAAAAACAATACCTGGTACCAATGAACTATAGGTACTTATTAATAGTTAAAAATTTATATACCTACATATTTATTTGGTATCAAATTAGAAGGATGTATGCAATAAAACTCGGTATATATACTGAAAAATAACATTGTATAATATGTAGGTATCAATAGAACTTGATAAAACTATATAACATTTTTTGTCATACTCTTTCTATTTGTCCAGTTTTCTTATTTAATTTGCCTATCGTACCTTTAGGGTCAGGTGTTAATGAACTCCACTGCGTTGTGACGCAGTTCTCAAATTTATGACGACCACATAGTAATTTATCTTTGATTTCATTATTGACTGTAATACACGAACCTAATACATTGTAAAACTCTAAACTCAGTCCATCTATCCATTCTCTTAAATCTTGGTCTATTCTTTGAATATTTGACTGTGAAATTTTCTGTAATAATATGCTCTGCTCATAGTCAGGAAGAAAATTCTTTGGTTTAATATTAGAAAAGTCTTTGTAGGAATTTTGAGATCCGCTATGAATTATACTAGATTCTTGATGTGACAAGTCTTTGCCAGAAAAATATTCTAAGGGTGATATAAGGAACTTGGTAGCTACAATTATTCTATTTTGTTCAAATAAACCTAATTTCCAGATTCCCGGTAAAAGGGGCGCTTTTAAGTTCGGTTTTATAAAATTTGTTAAGTTGTTCTCGTCTACATGTATCATGTTAACGTCTCCAATCGCCCCAGTGGGATCTAACCAAATTAAAGTTAAATTTTCACTTTTCTTATCTAGTTGAGCAGAAAATTCATACAATAAAACTGGTTCAGATAGAGGACCCAAAATACCAGCTAGGTTTCTGAATGTGGTTTCCTTCTGGTCATAATCAGAACTTACTTTAAATATCTTGATAATATCCATATAAGGATTCTCAAAATTTAATTCTATATGTTTTTTAGGTTTATACCAAGTCTCTATTAATATTTCTATGTTATCATGTACAATAGCTTTATGTAATATTAAATTTCCTTTATAAACATCTGCATAACTATAAGAATTTATCTCAATGATTAAGTCAGGTTCGATCTTACAACCTTCTTCTAGAAGAATTCTAGCATTATGTCTTATAATGCTACCAGCATGGGTCAACAGAATGTCATCTGTATTAGCTGTCATATCTTCTACATTATAAATACTCTGCCAATATGCCTCCAAGTTTGGAATCAAATAGTGATCTTTTATACCTATGTATTCTTCAACTCGATTTATTATTTCTTGATTTATTATAGGTTCGAACTTTCGAGCAAAAAATAATTGTCTGTCCTGAGTGTTTTGTATACGAGGCCAGTCTTCTGTTCTAAAATCATTAGGCGAACACCCACACCAATCGACCACATGTTTATATTGGCATTTGCACCCTAATTTTCTTTTCCAGTTAGTTACATGCAAATTATTGTCAACATAAGAATCGCAGAAATATGAATTTCGTAATACTGTATGAAAAAACGACTCTGCCGGTAATAGCGTATGTTGAAATATAACATCCAATCCAGTTAACAGTTGATCTTGGTTTCCAACAACATATGATACAAATTCTGGAGAGAGAGCAATCCAGTCACTTCCACCATCTATTATGATACCTCTGGGCAGCTTTCTTTCACCAACACGCCACATATGCGTGTCACATTCAATAAAAGTTTTGTCGAGGCCCTGTTTTTTAATAAACCTCTGAACTTCTCGACCATGTGATTTCACAAAATTCAGTCCTTTATTTGCTGATAAGAAGTTTTCTAATTCTTCCAACGATTTTATGGGAAAATCGCTTTCACTTAAATTGATAACAAAATCCCACTTCCATCCCAGCGACATAAAATCTTTCATAGCTGCAAGTAACATTTTGAGCAATGATGCACCACCCCAAATTGTGGAAAATCTGGTCGTCGCTAATTTTACATTAGGTAACTGCTCTAAAGGCGATAGTTTCCTGTGTAAATAATCTTGCCTCTGAAACAAGCAAAAATATATTAATGTGGGCGGAAACTGGCCGCACATAATAGGCCTGTGGTGAGCACTAGGACTGGATAGTTTATTTTAATTTGACTACACGGTTGGCGTAGTGGCTAGGCAACCAGCTGCTGCGCAACGTGGATTCGTTTGATCCAAATATTGTTGTTCCGGGTGTGTCATGTGTACCTACATGAATTTGTATGGTTGTAAACCCATCCACATCCAGGACAGATAACGTGCCAGCAAAAGGCCAAATAACAAACATTTGGTTCTGGATAAAAATATAAAAGTATTTACAGGATGATTTGTAATAAGACCACAATCTTGTATGGGGTTATAGCACAGATCAATTCCAACATTTTAATCAAGCAAAACGATACCTAGGCGAAATTAAACGGTCATTCAGAAATTTAGCCTTTTTCAGTGTTAGTTTCAAAATGACGCCAACGGTAACTCTAAAACTGAAAAAACAAAAACAAAAATATGCTTGGCCTAATTTTCTTTTTTAATTATCTTACTTTAGTAGTTTATTTACCAGTTATAATCATCGAATACACAATAATAACCGGGCATTTAACCCTACATTTATGAGCATAGATATATATCTACAATATAAATATACATGCGATACGATATAAATATACATGCCATATGTCATGTATATTTTAATCAATTGTCTTTTCTAGGTATAGCAAAATTTAACCAATTAATGATTGCTATTTTCAACAATTTATCATTTGTTAATCAATTATTTGGGTAAAACTAATCCCAGTCATTAATAAGCAACAAAAGATAACATTACTAATAATTAATCAGTGCAGTCATGCTTGCATTGAAAACCTTATCATATATTTATTTGGGTCTGGCTTACTCACACTCAAATTCATTGAAATTGAAGTGTGCGTTACCGAGGCCAGATGTTGTCGAAAATGGTCATTTGAATCTTATAGATAATTAGTTGTGCGGCTTCTGTAATTGTTGCGCACATTTTAAAATTTGTTGCGCTTATAGTTTTTTAATTATTCCACAAAAACATTTCCTGCTGGGGTAACCTTACCCCAGCCAGACCTTTTTCTTTCTAATGGGAAAATTAAAATAATTACTAGCTATAAAATTAGTTGCCTAGATGAAGTACATGTTGTGCCTTGTTTTGTATTTGTTCTGTCATCGGTTGCGAAGTTATTCGAGATTATGCTGGGGTAACGTTTTTGATTTTGCTAGATCTTTGAAATGGTTACGCGGATTCTTATCATATTTGGTACATGGCTTATTATTAATTAGTTCAAATTTGTTGTGCAATAAAAAAACCAAAATAATAAATAGGTAGCTTAAAAGTTATTTCATTAAATAGAAAAACACCTAAATTGGTCCCAGCACTCTCAATAAGAGCTTCTAAAGACTTGCTTTAAACTTCATTTAAAAGCTTGTGACTGCCTTCAAATGTATGTGAAGTTTCATTAGTATCCTGTAAGTATTGAACAAGTTATGATGATATTGAGTTCTTCACGAGCACAGTCTTGATGCGCGCGGTGTTATTTGGCCACTGGATTGGATATTTGAGCTGAATGTTATGTCAATAATTAGTTGTTTAGTTCAGTTAGGTATATATCAGTAAAATTTCAACTAAGTACATTGGATAATTAATGAGATAATACGATTAAAGTCATTATGAAGAGAATGACCGTGGTAACCCGACTAAGTTTAGGTGGTTACGAAAAAGCGAAAACGCAGAATATTATGGTACCTTCTAAAATATGTAGGTATGTACCAAATATGATAAGAATCCGCTTAACCATTTCTAAGATCTAGCAAAATCAAAAACGTTATCCCAGCAAAATCTCGAATAACTTCGCAAACGATGAAAGAACAAATACAAAACAAGGCACAACATGTACTTCATCTAGGCAACTAATTTTATAGCTAGTAATTATTTTAATTTTCCCATTAGAAAGAAAAAGCTCTGGCTGGGGTAACGTTACCCCAGCAGGAAATGTTTTTGTGAAATAATTAAAAAACTATAAGCGCAACAAATTTTAAAATGTGCGCAACAATGTGCGGCTTCTGTAGCCGCACAACTAATCAATACATAGTATAAAACAAAGTCGCTTTCGCTGTATGTCCGTATGTATGCTTAGATCTTTAAAACTACGCAACGGATTTTGATGCGGTTTTTTTTAATAGATAGAGTGATTCTTAAGGAAGGTTTGTATGTATAATACATGCATATTGCACCCGTGCGAAGTCGGGGCGGGTCACTAGTTATCTATAAGACTCAAATGACCATTTTCGACAACATCTGGCCTGGGTAACGCACACGAAATTGAATTAGTTTCGCAGAAGGGAAAAACTTATATACACAATTACACATGTATGATATGAAACATAAGTTTCAGTTTCAGTAGATCTGAAATGTTGTTTTGCTTATTATTCTAGTTGACGCACATAATCACAATGGTTTTAAATGTGGAAGAGCCATGCTCCAGTACAGTATTAATGGGCTTGCATTGTGTTTTGCCACATGATTGGAGATCAAAAACACTTCCTCCTCCCTGTCCCTAATACCCAAAAGGCCGACAACACTCTTGTAACTTCTCTGGTGCCTATGGGTGCCGGCCAGAACGAATTGCTTATAATCAGGTAATCTGTCTGTTTGTTTGCCACTTATATTTCATACAAAATTGATCATAAACAGTTAACTAACTTACCTTATCAACATGTATGTAAAAATAATGGTTGCTTCTATATAAAACATTTATTAGCCTGTGAACCTGTCTCAATGCACGCCCATTCAGTGTCAATAGGAACACAATTTGAATGGGCTCATTTTTAGTGCTAGCAGTTACAGGTACTCTTGGTGTGAATTCTGTAAAAAAGATAATACATGGCCATAAAAATATGTTATTAAACAAAGATAAAGGGATGTGAAGTGTGGTGTGAAATGAACAACAACAATGGTTTCTGCAAACCATATTTATCTAAAAGCAGGTAGTATATTTTTAAAATAACAAAAAATATTTACGTCTCTGGCTACTTTGAAATTACATTAACCTACCTATCTTACCCGATAGGGTGGGCAGACGTGCACATTACTGCACTTAATGCCACTGTACAATGTAACACCCACTTTACACTATTTTATGGTATGGGTCACATGTAACAGGGGGTGAGCTTATTACTGTATACCTGGCATGATTCCAGATTCCGTGCTACTACTGATAATTCTTTAAAAATCCAGTAATTCTTTGCCGACCCAGGCATTGAACCCGAGACCCCTTGCCCGGCAGTCACACTTACGACCCCTTGGTCAATAAGATGGCTATTGTTCAAAATTATAAGTAACTTACTAGATAAGCCAGTTTCATATATGTTCATAGTAAAGTAGCCTCCACAATGCTGTGTTGCATTTCCTGGACATTTCATGTCACACAAATGATCAGCCACAGCAGCAGAAGCTTGAGGTAGATTCTCCCCACAGAAACATTCCGAGCTGGAAAATTATAGGAAATTCAAATGAGACATTTACACAATACTGTAGTATTAAAATAAGTAGTCCATTTAAAATAAAAGACTCAAAACTGCTAGCATAGAGGAATGCATGATTTCACTTACGCATATTGAACTCCAGCATACATAAATCCAGCTTGTATGCAGATATCCAAACATGTACTTGGTGAATTAGTGTTGGCATAATTGCCATAGAAACCCGTAAGTAACCTTAATTTTTTCTGATCAGCATAACATCCTAGGTGTTTCCCATATGTCATTTGGCCACGCCGACAGGAATTAGGTAATTCATAAGGATAGAAACTTCCACTTTGAATAAGACATGTCTTATTCACAATTTGTTGCTTGCAATTTTGTGTCTTAGCACGATGAATGGCAGATATGGCTTCTTTACTTTTTATTTCACAAGGAGGTTTAAAATCCAGTTCTTCAACCCTAAGATATGTCGAGTGCTTGTTATGATTTTTGTTGTTAGAAGATAGGTCTTCATCATCACCAAACCCAATATTATTCTTTCTTGCGGAAACTTCACCCACTAGCTGTCGAGCACTGGATACATAACCATTATTCATGGATATATTATCATTTATAGAGGGAAACAAACTGACGGCGATAAAAATGTGTATAAAAAATGCTAATAATACAGTTATTACTAAGCACTTCGTGTACTTATAATAATATTTTCTAAATATAAACGCCATTTCAACGATGTTTCATTTTGTTTAGGTTTTTCAAAACACCATTAATATGCGACTTCTTAACTAGACAACATTTATTGTACTGTTTAGGTAAACGTCTACCTACATTTTATGTCTAATTTTTATTTTCTTGATAAATTAATATAAGTGACCTTTCTTTCGGATAACAATTGTTTTCGCTTTTTAAACAAGTTTACGTGAGTCTATGCGTATGTGTGTTCTCACAGATACAGCTATGGTACTGGCTGACTGTCAAAAGTGTCAAACTGTCAATCAGACGGTTAGCTTTTTAATGGTAAATTATACTCAAAGAGTATAATAAGTATAGGGGAAATTATACTTATATTTCCCCTATATTATTATTAATATACGGTAAACGAGCAGACAGATCACCTGATGGTAAGCAATCGGTGTCGTCCATGGGAACAGCGGTGGCGTTACAAGACCATCAAGTATTGTAAATCGGTAAAACGGGGTGTATAGAATTCAAGGGGTGAATAGATATAGAATCTTGTATCTATTCACCCCCTTTTACGGTATTCAATATTTTGTGTTCAGAAGATAATCTGTCAGACCGACATATTGTAGGATGATGTATGGGAGGATGATAGTGCACCGGACAGGAAGTTGACAGGTAGTAATACTGAGGGGTGTTCACACAGTGTTCCACACTTGGTGAATACCTACCTACTAAATGTGTGGAAAAATATTACTAACTTTAAAACATAATATATTGTCATCACGATTAGATACTTTGATCTACTTTGTAAAACTCATTGCATGACAGAAAAGTTAAGTAGAAATTGTAATATCATGCAATGATAGTTAAGTATTTAGACTAGTCAGTGTTACCTACCTATCTACTCAAAGTTAATAATGATAACGAACAACTTATCTATATAAAGAATTACATCACATGTATTTACACACACAAACAAGTTTTTTTTCTAAAACACACACCTCGATCATTCACCAGTAATTCATAATGCTCAATACATTTAAAATAATAACAAGAAGAAATAACTTGACTAAGATTAATGCATTAAATATGAGTGCCCGGGAGATTCATAGCGATGGTAGATTTAAAGGGAAAGTGGCAATAGTAACAGCTTCTACAGAAGGGTAAGTTTTATTAGAGTCAAATCTTTTTTGTTTGGTTTTAAGAATTCAACCAATAACAATCGTACTTATTCACGCATTAAAGTTTCAAAAAAGTAGTAGGTAATCCTAGGTTAACAAATTGTAGTACTTACTTAAGTATAAATAAATAACAAAATTAATAAAAACGAATGCCAACACATTATTAACTTGTGTACCTATTATAAGTTGTATTCAAATTCAATTCATAGTTTCAAAGGTTCAAAGGCCAATCTCGTGTGATAATAATTTATCAAACATGAACCTATTTACGTTCCTCGTACTAAAACAATTATTATTATGAATTATGATGATCTACGATGGTGTTTAATGTGTATTATAAGTTGTATTCAAATTCAATTCATAGTTTCAAAGGTTCAAAGGCCAATCTCGTGTGATAATAATTTATCAAACATGAACCTATTTACGTTCCTCGTACTAAAACAATTATTATTATGAATTATGATGATCTACGATGGTGTTTAATGTGTTTCCTTCAATTTTAAGATTGGAAAAATGTATATGTACTATTGAATTGATAATATACTACTTGCATAATAATAATTAGGTACTTACTTAGGTATTTAATGGGTATAAAAATAAACTTCTGATATTGATATTTGATTATAGTAGGTACTTAGGGACTTAGACTTCTAAGTAAGAAGAAGACCGACCTAAACCTATTAGGTCCCTACATAATGTGTAATTTTATACAGGACTCGGTACAGAGATTATGAAGTTTATCGGATATGTTTTAAATTACGTAACCAGGTCCATTTTGTCCCCAGTAGGTAGCTTCGACCGTCATCATTTCAGCCATTATGCCATGATTGAGACATGACACAAACATAAACTAATACTAGTAAAATTGTATAGGTATCCATGTAGTCACCACCTATGTATATATATGGATAGGTAGATATCTCCCTAGTGCCGTAGTTCTTAAATTTCAGTGCAGTGAAATTGAAAATTTCTATAGGTACTGAACATTAGGTACCTACCTAAAAGTACCTAAAATTACCTTTACCCAACCCAGACGTCGAAGCTTCCTAAGTTCAGCTGCCAGCTGCTGTTTTACTTACCAAGTATCAGTAGTTACTGAACTACTGACACTTGATAACTATCTACGTCTACTAATACACACTAATTTATTTTCCCTTTAAGCATTGGGTATGCCGTAGCCAAGCGGCTGGGGAACGAAGGTGCTTCTGTTGTGATAAGCAGCAGGAAAGAAAAAAATGTGGAACAGGCTGTTCAAAGTTTACGCAGCGAAGGCATCACAGCTGAAGGAGTCGTATGTCACGTAGGGAATGCAGATCAACGAAAAAAATTATTTGATTTCGTAAGTAGTATATATTAACCGACTTCAAAAACAAGGAGGTTCAGAGTTTGACGTGTATGTAGGTACCTAACTACTACCTTGTGTGTGTATGTTTGTCCGCGATTAGCTGAACCGATTTTGATGCGGTTTTCAGAAAAGTGTTTGTTCCACAGGTTTTATAAGTACCTACTTATAAACACGTTAAACGCCATGGCAGTCACCGGTGACCGACGTTAGCGGAGCATTTGCAGTTTTTTATTGGCAGTCAAAGCCTTAATTAACCAACTACAAACAAGAGGGGGTTGAAGTCGTTTTTAAAAAAAAATGTAGTTAAAAGAATGGTAGTAGGTATGCTAATTTTCTTATTAAACGACTTAGAAAAACGAAGAGGTTGAAGTTGGTTTTTTAATCGTAGTTTATACCAACAGTTATTTAGTTCGTCGTTTACTGAATTGAATAAAAATAGTAGGACACGTATAAATTAGGTACTTACCTATTGTATCTATTATCATTATCCTTTATTTTTATAAAGTTGGAAGTCATCAAAAACTTTCTGTATTATGTATTTATTATTATTCTATTTCAGACAAAGAGCAAATTCGGGGGTCTCGATATACTTGTTTCTAATGCTGCAGTTAACCCTGGAGTGGCGCCGATTTTGGAGGTGAGTTGATATTGCTAAAACGTCAATGTTAGTGTTATATGGCAATAGGCTCACCCTCTATTACGTAGGGCTCATAACATAAACAGTGAAAAGTGGGTGTTACATTGTACTTACAGTGGCATTTAAGTGCGTAATGTGCACTACACTCTGCCTACCCCTTCGGCACTAAAAGGCGTGATGTTCTGTTCACTGTAAATGGTATCACTGTAAATGGTAAATTTAACAAACCGTGCAATTTACCATTTAAGTAACGAGTTGTACTTTTAATTATTATTTAAATAAAAATTGTGTAACTCTTACACATTGTACTCCATTTAATTGAAACCATAATTTTTTAGATTAACTGAAAAAAAAACATAACAGAAAATTCATTTGTTATAATATAATTACCTATGACACCGATCTATCTAACCATGTCATAGTAGTTATTATATTTATTTTCCAGACTGAGGAAGGCGTATGGGATAAGATTTTCGAAATCAATGTGAAATGTGCTTGGCTTTTAGCCAAGGAAGCTTATCCCGAACTTGTAAAAAGAGGAGGTGGAAACATAGTTTTTATTTCATCCATCGCCGCATACCAACCGATGGAGGTAAATACTGCTTTTTATAATCTCGCAGATTGTGTTTGTGATTGAGCAAGTGACATTGGATCATCATTGATCATCTAATTATGTAGGTACCTACTCAAATATAATAAAAAAGGATAATTAAGTATTACTAATTTTCGTACAGATATATACACCCGGATATGACGATATCTACTAATGAATAGTTTCCTATATTTTTATATTATATCTGCTGTTGCAAATGTAGTTAGCGTTTTTTGAGAGGGAAAACCTGGAAAAATCATCCAATGATTTCTCTCGCCTTGGGTGAGCCGAATAAGGAAGTGTCAAACTCTGAATAAAAACTATCCCGTTTCTACTCCTGCCTTCGAGTCGGAGCCCCGGTAACCCACTAGGTCTTCCGTATCTTGGCTACGGTGTTCGCTTACCAGTAGTATAAAAACCTTAGTTATCTAATCTGCGATAATAATGTAACTTATAAAATTATCTACCTACACTAAATAATAACACATTACATTGCGTATTATCTTTCAGCCGCTTGGAGCCTACAGTATCAGTAAAACGACTCTTCTAGGTATGACAAGGGCATTAGCATCAGAAATCGTTCATGATAATATCAGAGTAAATTGTGTTGCTCCTGGAATAGTTGCCACGAAGTTTGCGTCTGCTGTGAGTATTATTACCTACTTACTACAAAGTATCGGATATAAAGGAAATTCCCAAGAACAGGGACATTAACATTAACATGTAATTCTTGTTTCCAGATTACTAGTAATGAGGCAGGAAAAGAGAAAAGTTTGTCTATAGTCCCGATGAATCGTTTTGGCAAACCTTCGGAGATAGCTAGTGCTGTAGCGTTTTTAGCTTCTGATGACGCCAGCTACATAACTGGAGAAACTATAGTGACTGCTGGAGGAGCGTACGCTCATCTCTAACTTTAAGGGGTCAGAATATTATTGAATTTATGTATTTATCATTTATCAGTATAAATAAAATGTAATATTTTTATAAAATCTGTTTATTTTTTATAATCTTACCACTATGCCTGCATTTTGAGGACGAGCTGATTTTTCAGATTTGTTCATCATCAGAGTCTAATAACTCAGTTTTGCTTACCCCCAGAACAGTCATTAGGTTACTAGAAGGTCCTGTGGATGCCTTTTCCTCTTTCATGCTTAGAATAAAATTTTGCAGTACTGTCGCGTCGTCTTTAAGATTTTCAGATCCCTTTTCTAACTTGGTTCGAAGTTCTATGTCACAATCATCATTGTCAACACCTTCTTCATTATCTTCATTAGTGTACATTATATCGAAATCATCTTCACTGTCTTCGGTTTCAGATCCCCCTTTTTCGCCTGTGCTTAATAAATTTAACATTTTTTCTATACATGATACAAATTGATCTGATTCAAAGACTATTTCCTGGTCAGTGTCTTCATTCCGAGTGGATTCAATTCCTTCATAATCGGAAGTTTTGTTCAAAAATGATGACAACTCTTTAGTTATTCTCTGAGATGTTAAAATGTCATCATTTTTTAGATT